TGTTTTGAGAAAAAGGTGAGAAGTAGTAATCAAGCATATAAGCTAATGACGTCTTATAATGAAATAAATAAGAAAAATAAAAAATATATAATTAATAATTTGCTCGTATCAATAATTTTGTTAATAGAAATCAAAACTCAATCTATTTACAAAATTGAGAATAAACAAGAATGCAGATTTTATAAAGCATGCAAATGCATGTAATAAAAAATTAATGGATGGAAATAGATGTAGATCTTATAATAAATTCCTAAAAGTTATTTATTTATACTTTATATGAATTTTATATTACAATAGAAAAATTCTATTAATAACAATCAAAATACAAGATCTATTTACAATAAAGAATAAGAGACAAAATGGAACTTAAGTCACGCACAGAATATACATTATATGCACTTAATGCACAAAGTATTAAAATAATAATAATAAGTTACAGTAGATTTTATAATAAATTCATAATATAATTGTTCTATTTATAATGTTAATGAACTTAAATTTAAGTATAATAGAAGATATAATATTAGTTAAATTCTGAATAAAATACAAACATTAAACAAAATTTGATAATATAATATAAAATTTTGATAATATAAAAGAGTATTACATATATGGGAAATCAAAAATATCAAGGATAAAATAGATATTGCATAGAATGAACAGAGGAGGATGACAATTGTTCAAAGTCTTGATATTTAAAAAGAACTCGAGGATGTTCATAATTTTTACCCATTAAAAATTTCCAAAAACCTGAACAAGAAACAACCATTTAGATCGGTAACTTTTTTCGTATATATACAAGATTTTAAATTTATTTACCCGATTTTGTTTAAATTTTCATATTTACAGTAAATAACGAAAGTTTTTTACAAAATATATACAAATTCGGTTAAAATCTATAATTTATCTACAACATAAATACACATTTTTTGTACAGAATCCGATCAAAAGCTACAATTTACATACAATTTATATACAACTTATATACAATTATGTAAGTTGTAGATATTTTGTATACCATTTCTACATTCGACATACAAAATATATACAATTTGTTCATGTCTTCTTTTTCGAGTTTCAATATGAAATTTCAACCAAAATCACCTCGAATCTTCACCAAATTATCTCAAATTTGAGATATAAACTCCAACGGATATTCCCAATCATTTGCAACAACACCCAAACCAAACAAAAAATAATTTCATAAAATTCCATTTTCGAATTCAAAGCTTTGAAGCTTTTTAATGGCTGTCAATGAAGTTTTTAATGGATTAACATAGTTTCCAATTCAATCTACTCGCTTCTAATTAATACTATTTTGTTTATTCATTCCAAAAAGCTAAAAGAATAATAACTAAAATGATTCTCTTCATCAAAGCTAATTTCTTTCTTATTTACTTTCTCGTTTTCATAGGACCTGACGCAAGGACTTTGCTAGGTGCTAATCTTCTCTCTTTTTTCACTTAACATTAGTTTTATTTCTTCAGTTAATCCACATGAAGATATTAGTATAATAATACTGATAGAGAATGAGAGACAGAGAGAGAGAGATCGAAAAGAAAGAGCGAAGAGGGAATTCCCTATTCAATTCATAATATCATGGGATATTCATTAATATTAATTTGTATATAATTGATAAATTGTATGTCAACTTGTAATTAAGTTAGAAATCCCAAATATATATATATGCACTAATATTTACATCAAATTATAGTAATATAAGTAATTTGGGATTACATTATAGTTATTAATTATTATCAGTTTATTATAAATAAGTGACAAACTAATGTGATACAATAACAATTAGTAAGACTTTATTCCAAACAAGTTAAAATCACTATTAAAATCCTCAGTAATTATGTTAATCCATATATATACACCAAGGGCTCGTTTGGTACGAGAGATAATGAATAATTAATCTCGAGATAAAATTTAAGAAGAGTTTATTCTATGTTTGGTTGAAAGAAAATTGCAGTATAATTAATCCCGAAATTAAATATTTCGGGATTGTAGTATTTTTTATCCCTATAAAAAAGTGAAATAATTAATCTCGAAATAATTTAATCCTAGGTTAACTTCTTTACCACCAAACTACCCATAAAGTATAATGTACATATAACAATTTAGCAATATTAATATATGTGAGGTACGTGTAAAAACACATATTATACACATCAAGTGGTAGCCCTTTCTGTAATTTTAAGGTTCGTACTTGGTCAATAAATTTGCAGTCACTTGAGATCTCACTAGCCCCAATAAACTCCCTTTATTTCCACTTCACTGAATTAGTGAATATCACCCTCTCTCTCTCTCTCTCTCTCTCTCTCTTTCTCACAGTCCACTTCTTCACTCCAACACACAGTCGCCGGAATTCTTCTCTCTTGCAACAATAACATGCAGCTTTTGTCGTCGGCCGCTGCGGCCGCGGTGGGTTTCTCTCTTGCCCTTCTCCTTTGTGCCACTGAAGCACACAACATCACCCGCATTCTAGCCAAACATCCACAATTCTCCACTTTCAACCACTACTTAACAACAACACACCTCGCCTACGAAATCAACCGCCGTCAAACCATCACCATCTGCGCCGTCGATAATGCCGGCATGTCAGATCTACTCTCCAAGCACCTTTCCATTTACGCCATGAAAAACGTGCTCTCATTTCACGTGCTTCTCGATTACTTCGGCGCCAAAAAGCTTCACCAGATCACTAACGGCACTGCACTTGCTGCCACTATGTTCCAAGCCACCGGCTCCGCTTCCGGTTCTTCCGGCTTTGTCAATATCACTAACTTAAAAGGAGGGAAAGTCGTTTTTAGCCCCGCCGATTACGATGGCCCTCCTCCCGCCAAATTTGTTAAATCCGTTGAGGAGATTCCTTATAACATCTCCGTTATCCAAATAAGTACGATTTTGCCCTCAGCCGAAGCTGAAGCTCCGACTCCAGGACCAAGTCAGATGAATCTCACTTCGCTAATGTCTGCTCACGGCTGCAAAGTTTTTGCTGAGACGCTTTTAGCTTCTCCTGCTGAAAAGACTTTTGAGGACAATGTTGATGGCGGATTAACGATATTTTGCCCTGGAGATGACGCAATGAAGAATTTTTCACCTAAGTTTAAGAATTTAACCGCTGAAGGTAAACAGTCGCTGCTCGAGTATCACGGAGTTCCTATTTATCAATCGATATCGAGTTTGAAATCTAATAACGGCGTTATGAACACGTTAGCTACAGACGGCGCTAAGAAGTACGATTTTACCGTTCAAAATGACGGCGAAGATGTTACACTGAAGACGAAGGTTGTGACTGCGAAGATCACGGGGACTTTGGTTGATGAACAGCCGCTGGCGATATTTTCGCTTGATAAGGTGTTATTACCAAAGGAATTATTCAAGGCTGCTCCTACTCCGGCGCCGGCGCCGTCACCGGAGGCTGACGCTGAATCTCCTAAGCACTCTAAGGATAAACACAAGTCGCCGCCGGCACCTGAGTCTTCCGCTGATTCACCGGCGGATTCTCCGGCGGATGGTCCTGGTGATGATTCTGCCGATTCGACCGCAGATGATAACGGTGCTGTTAGGTGCAAAGCCGGAGCATCGCTTACCGCCGTTTTCAGTATATGGTTTGCCTTCAAATTATTGATGTGAGTTTTATTTTTATTTCCATAGGTCTTTGAAAAAAAACAATGTCTGTTTTTCCTTAGGTTTTAATTGTTGAACTCTAGGGGCTTTTAATTAATTGTGAAATAAGTGGATTTGTAACGGTAGCAGTGTAAGTTTCTATATTGTCTAACAGGCTTTATGGTGCTTTTGCTTTTTCTTTTTTTGCTTTTGTACTAAGTTTTTAGACCCATTTTCTTCTTTGTTAGTGTGTCTTTGATTTTCTCTGTTAAGTGTTAAGTTGATTCAGAGATGGAATTGATTCTGTAATATGAGTCCTTGTTTGCGTGTTAACCATTAATTATGAATTTATGATCAGCTTTTCATATAATTCCGTTGCCATCTTACTCTATGTCATAAATTTAAATTTTTCTTTCGCTGTTATGCATTATTCCGAAGTGGCTTTACTCAATTTGTTTGGGAGATTTTGTCTCAATTCAAGAACATGACTATTGAATCTATTCAGGTACATATTGAACCGTTGTAAGTTGTAAAATATTACTCCTATTTATTTTCTTTTCTAGATTGCTTATCACATTTAAACAATAACTAAAAATTTACTCTGCACTTAGTATTCGTATCAAATCATTAGATACACTATATATGTTTATATATAGGTTTCTATCACTTAATTATGAGTAATTAATATATATTTTCACTTTATTTAAATCACTTAACCATAGTAACTTGATAAGATTTGATAAAAACACACAAATTTTTACTTACCTACAATAACCCGTAAACTAAGTTTTAGTTGATTGACAGCTACATTAACAAATCGAGGAATTCTAAATTCGTTATTGGCATTGGGGTTGCGGAAACTGAAAGAGATGAATTTTATTGCTACCATGATTTTGTGGAGTACTTTTTAATTGGCTCACTGATCTCTAGATTTCAAACTCAAATTTGAGATTCCTTCTAGAAATGGTCATTGAAATTGGAGCATCGACTCACTTGTCCAGAGAAATTCTGGCCTTTCAATGTTTGACCGTGGAATTAGCAGTTGGGTTAGGCACCGTTTGAAGCCCTGTTAGGGACTGACTTTTGATAAAGTTGGTAAGGCCCACTAACTGGAAAATGCAGTACTAATAACTGATCGACCTTTTCTTGAAAATGAGTGCTATATATTGTTCCTGCATCTCTCCACTTTTCAGTTTCAATCTAGAAATACAAAACTTCCTGTGATAAGACACCTTTTTAATGAGCTTTATGTAGCAACAAATCTTAATTAGTTGAGTTGATGGATTCTAAATACAAATGGCTATACCAACAAAAAGGACAGTGTTATACTGCCCTTGGATTCATCTTCACTTCAATATAGTAACTTTATTAGTCCAAAATAATGGTAAAGCTCGAAATAAGATCAACTCATCTAATAGTACTTTCTAAATAATTATAGTGCCATCTACAACAACAAAAAATCTAGTAATTTTCTACAAGTGGGGTCCTTACCCCTATTTAAGGGTTAATAAAAAGCATAATTATTAACTGCTGATTAAGAAAATCAGCCCTGAGGAGTCAACAAGCAACATTCCGAGACTCGAAACAAGTTCACCAAGTTCAATTTCAGTTAACAGGTTTTGTGACCAACACTGTCTCTTGCTTGCAGAAGTAGATCCCACTGAGGACCAGGCTACAGCAGCATTTAGAATGGCCTCCTACTCCCCTATCACAGTATTTATGCCTAACAGTTCAAAGTTGGATATGTATTTACTCTTCAATCGGTTCTCTTTAGTGTACATACTTATAAAGCAGTGGAATGATTGACTTTCGGATTCCCCAATGTTGGCTCTCCAAAATTTCATGAATCATTACAGATTCATCACCTCATCTTAAGTTGCTTTTGTTTTACGTTGCATTAGAAAAATGGAAATAGTAAAAGGAATCATTTATGTCCAAAACTAATCCCCCCGCGCACGAACCCCGGCGATAACAGCTAAAACACAAAATTGGCTCCAAAAATAAGAAAAATTCTAATTTGCAAAATTGTTGTCTGAAGTGAAAACACAAAGGATAACCTAAGGGTGAAAACTAACGACTGTAACTTTGAAAGAACTACCCAAAAACATTTGTCAGAAAATGCTTTAAAAAAAATCCAAAGAACATTTTGAAGAGACTGCCTAAGGCCACTGAGCCACTCTCTATCTTAAATCACATTATTTGTTAGAAATACACCGTCTTTGATAGTGTAATCATTATCCTTAAGGAATTTAAGCCTCCCACGTCGTTGTTGCAGCGATGGTAACACAATTCCTCCAGGAATTTACCAAGACAACGAAATTCGAATAGTAGCAATTAATCCGAATTTTCACAAGAACAAACTTTGTGAGTTGCAAAAATAATAGAAAGAGAGAGGAAGAAATAATTCTGTAGTTGTTGATGTATATAGTTTTTGGAGAGACAACAGGTATTTGTAATACCTCTAGGAGCTGTTGGAATCAACGGGCACCTTTAAATTTAAAATAGAACTATTGAAACGTTTTGAATAATTAATAAAGACTTTTTAATTAAATAAAAGAAATAATAGGTGACTAAAATTAAATTAAAATATAGCCACAATTGGTTTCCCTCCAAATATCCCTCAAATTATTCAAACCAAATAAGACTAGAAGTGTTTAAAAGCACCTCTACCTTTCTCTATTTTTCTAACGAGGGACAAGCTTCCTTCTCTCAAATGCTAACCCATAAACTCTAACTAATCCAACATTATTATAAACAAAATAGTAGCATTATAAAACCTTTTCATAAATTAGCACCTCATCAGGATTCCTTTAGTTGTTTCCTTCCGTTCAGTGTAGTCAATACAGCTACACACTCGGGATAAAAATACAATTACACTCCTCCAACAAAGTACTTGCTCCATAGGTAAGGATTTTACATGAGAAATTACTAATTAGATGAACAAAGAATAAGAAACGAAGCAAGCAAATTGGAAGAAGTATGCCTTCTGTGGTTCATTGGATACACTACGTAAAATGAGGCATACAAGACTTGGAAAATACATTTTATTTCGGTGTACGAGCAATCGATACGACTACTATAAAACATCAATTATAGGATAACAGAAGATCTATGCTATCACTTATCCTACTTCTTAGTTTGGGAACTACTAGTATTAGAATGAAATGAGACCTGAATAGAGCGGTGTAGATAAAAGTGAGTCATACCGTTAATCTGGCATATGTGATTGCCCCACTCTGTTTCTTCATAGATGAATTACAGAGTTTTACTGGACCAGACCATCTTCATTGAAATAAAGGTAACTCGTAGGATCATCAAAATAAGATTTAATCGGTACAGGAGTAAACCCCAGGTAACCCCCTTCTGCCTTTGCCAAGCACAGATCTTTGATGTATTTGAAAATGCCATGTTTCAGAACAAAAGGTTGAGCACCATACACTTCTAGTGACATCCACTGCAACGCAGTAATATCGCATAACATTTGCTAAATAGGATTTGAGAATACTGTAACAAATCCGTAAAACAAACTAGAAATACCTGAACTGCCTCAATTTCTAAATCTTGCTTTTGTAAGTTAAACGTAAGAGGGCGCATCATGCAAATGAAGAATAAGTCTGACTTTCCAAAGAATGACTTGTGCATCTGCCTGTCAACAGAAATGTCATGACGCCATAATATTCTAGGTTCTGAAAAATTAAGAAATTTTACACCAATCCTTCAGATACTCCTACTAGTCAATAGGTCCATTTAATCAAACATGAATTTCCAATGCATATAAAGTTACACCTTATAGAACTTTAAAAAGATTAAAACTTCTGAACTTTTCTTTTCAAAAGGTAGTTAACTATTTTTTGATTATCACCGTGGAAGGTGGTTAACCTAGGTAAACTAAACAAGATAGTCAATATGGAGGAGAGGCAATAGTATCTTGCAAAATTTGTCTGCACAGGCACGGCTTTTCATTTTCTTCACACATAATATATCATGATGAGTAAACCCACAACCTTGTGAAACAAACAGCCAAGGTATATCACATTAAACTTGAATCAATTCCGTTCTTTTGCCAGTGCCAACGGGTTAGCCACTAAATGAAAAAATGACATACATACTTGGTCAAATAATCAACGAAATGCACAAATTTCCTACCTGAATGCAAGCACTTCTAGAAATTCAGTATCAATCTGCACCAAAAGAAACCCAGATAATCTCAGAGAAACAATAACGGTTAAATGTACGGCAGAAAACTTAGATGCATTGATTGATTGATTCATTATGTAGCATTTTAGGTCAACTTTGACTGTTGAATGTTTTACTGTTGTATATAGTATATACTTACTCCTGTTTCTTCTTTTACTTCCCTTATTGCAGCTTCAAATAAATCCTCACCCTGCAGGACAAAAGCTTAAAACAGTTTAAAACTTCAAGTTGATATATGACTTGTATTTAAAGCTGACTTTAGCTTCAACATTGAGCATACCTCTTCAACAACACCAGTAGGGATCTTCCAAATCCCCGTTCCCTTCATTCTGCCACTACTTTCTTGGACAACAAGCAGCTGAAAACAAGAGTTTGCAGTTAAGAGAATGGATGACGAACCTACGAAATAATTACCTCCAATATGCTTAAGCATAGTGGTCCAAGACAAGAGGGATGTTTCTAATGATAAAGATATGCTTTGTTCACGGAGAGTTACCACAGAGGGCCAATACATCTAGTTAGACATAGAGATATATGCAAAATAGGTTAGTGGACTTACCAAATATGATGCTAAATAGCTCTTACTTTTTTTACATGATATTTAGTGGCAAGTGCATTCACAATCACTCTCCTTTGACTAAGAACGGTAAGATGCTAGCAGAGAATCAAGATTTGACAAATAGGAAATGAAGTGTCCAAATTGTCTGTATGCATGAAGTGACACTAACGCAGAACGCCAGCTCTATCACAACGGGCAGACTTTAAAGATCAGATCATCTTCAAAAGCAATTTGATGCATCAGGACTATGATATACCATTTTAGGTAACATAAGTCTGACATTCAAGGAGGGAAATATCGTATTGAGAATTAGAACAGATACAGATTAAGTGAAGTATCATGTCCATGTGGATAACTACTAGAAGAGAATTTATAGCTGATTTTAATTACCTCTCTTTTCTCATTCAAGACGACAGCCCCAATACCTACTCGATGTGAGGCATTTGCAGGGATTGTATTCCCAGTTTCAGGAATCCAATACACAAGCATCAGGTAATGAGGTTCTGCATGGTGGTACCAAAACCCTTCCTGCATCCAATGTTAAGAATAAGATCAGCATGATTGAACAGATAAGATATTATTTCTCAACCCAAAGGATGATATAAGCGGCAGCTTTGACTTTTGAGTTTGTGAAAACAAGGTTGGTAAATACTTTACTGCTGTAGATTTCAAAGAATAAAATTAAGCAATTCCAATTTGGATCAAGAAGACATTGTTTCATTATACTATGGCTTGGGTTTCACTGCAACTTCATTTGTTCGAAACAAACATTTGAAAATTGCATATTCTATGACACATTGAAGTAGCTTAGCTGGAATTCCATGTACTTCATTTATCAAGATGAACTATAACATCAAAATCAAGTTGATGATAAAATTCATGGGCGTTCCAGTGGACATTATGCGCTTGTTACACAACAAAAAGTAAGAATACATTACCTTAACTGCAGGTTCAACCAGATTTGCAAGTTGAATGGGCATTTTAATCCACACGCCCTTTTTCCCCTGCAAAATAATAAATGTCAAAGCAGTAGAAAAGAATTGAAAGAGAAAAAGGGAAGCAAAGTCAACCATATATATATTACACAAGTATTCCAGCACAGTGCTCTCATTGACTGTATTATCACGTATAAACAGAAAAATAATGCAAATAGTTGCTCCTAATAAGAGTAACAAGATCAATATACCTGCAGCTTCCATTGATGTAACGAACTTCTAAGCATGTTATGAAAGATATTTGGGTCCATAGGCTCCTCTAGTTCTACTATAACACCTCCATGGTCATCATTTACCGCCGGAAGCAACTGTACCTTTTTAACACCATTTTGAACTAACATTTGCTCCATAAGATCTCAATTTAGTCACAAGTTCTGCAGCCAAATTTTTCATTTAATCACCTGGTAAACACAACAGGATAGAAATGCAAATAAACTCGCATGCCCATATGACTTGTGCTAACAATTTTGCGCAAAGCTAATTGAAAGTGATAATTAATTAGCAAAAGCAAGAACTAAAGCTCCTGCCGGTCCTGCGTGCAGTGAAACTTACACATTTCATGATGCTTAAAACCGTTACAACTAGGACTATACTGTTGAATTGAATTATGTGAATCGCCTCGTTTAATATCATAAAATTTTAGAGAAGGCATACTTTATTCATGCCTGCAACACACCTCTCAGGTGCGGACGTGATTTCTTTTTTTCTTTTTCTTTTTTGTAATGGACGATGGTGAAATTCCAACCCGAAGAATCTGGCATTTTGAGTAGGTGACACTATTCAACAAAATAATTTAGCAGCAAACAAAAATTTTAACAGGTGCTTTCTGAAGCATAAAAAAATAGTACATAGTTAGAAAAGAGAAGGTAGAGTTATAATTTGCGAAATGATTGGTAAAATTGTTCAAAACCTCTTAAATGAATAAAAGTAACAGTGTCCGTCTCTACCAAATCAAATATACTTCCAGATATTTTTTTAAAAAAAAAATAAATGACACACTGATAAATTTGAAGAGTACCTTCAAAATGGAAGCTGAAAAAATTGGGAAGAATGGAGAGTTTTGCTACTGATATGAAGTAAATGTAATGCTACTACGAAGTTGAAGAGGGAGGAATTTAAATAGACAGGTGCCTACCCATGCGTAATGATGGCCTTCCCACCGACCACCGCGCCTCTCAGTTAGTTGATTGCGTCATCTGGGTCCCGTTTCCAAAAGCCGCCAGCACAAAACGTGGTCGGAGTTTATATGCAATAAAACGGGACCCACCCGCTTTTCCGGGTTAAACCCATGGGCCAGACAATTATGTGGGTGGGGTGGGGTGATTTGCACAAATAGGATGATACTTCAGTACCACTCTTAATTTTTACATCTCTCTTAGCCTATATTCACAACTTAAAATTTATTAAGTATTCATTATGTCATTTGAGACTTGTGTGCAAAATTTGGGTTCACTCCGAGTTGATTTAATATGTTTCGGTGCGAGTTTTGGAAGTTGAAAGTTCAAAGTTCATTAATTTTTGATTCGAGGTACGATTCGTCGTTTCGCTGTTGTTATGCGTGATTTGAGGCCTCGAGTAGGTTCGCGTTATGTTATTGGACTAGTTGGTATATTCGGACGGGGTCCCGAGTGGTTCGGAAGAGTTTCGGACGAGGTTCGAATCGTTGGGATCAATTTTGGCCAAGGCTACTGGTGGCAAGATCTGGTGTTATCGCACCTGCGGCTAGTTTTGCGCAGGTGCGATGGTCGCAGAAGCGACAAAGGAGTCGCAGAAGCGAGGTGAGAGTTGGGTGAGGAAGATCGCAGATATTGGATTTGACTTGTTCGAGGTAAGTAACACTTTTAAACTTGGTGCTGAGGGTATGAAACCCTGAATTACGTACTATGCGATTGATGTTGAGGTGACGCGCATGCTAGGTAACGGGCGTGTGGGCGTGCACCGTGTAAGTTGTGATTTAATCAATTCCGTAGAACTGTGTAGCTATCTTATCTGAATATTTTTACTGTACTCTATGTGTTAAAGCACTTGAGCTGTAATTTACGCTAAAAATCACGTCTAGGCTATATGCTGGTACTATTAGGACCCACAATGGTCGTTCTTGGTTGTTGAATTATTTGCTTAATTGCAGTTATGTACTTAGTCGCATTCATCATTTCATATCATATCTCAGTCTTTGTTATTGTATTTTGTCACATCTCATATCATTGATTTGGGCTGCTTAGCATGAGTGTTGTGAGCTCGAGAGACTGGAGAGATTGATGATTGAGTGAGGCCGAGGGCCTATTGTGAGGTTATTGATACTATAGCACGTGAGTTGTCCGTGTGGATCCTTGTATTGGTACTATAGCACGTGAGTTATCCGTGCAACACATGAATTGTCTGTGCGAATTTAGATATTGATACTATGGCACGTAAGTTGTCTGTGCGAATTCATACCATGATTGGCTCATTATAGCGCTTGGGCTGAAGGAGCCCTTCCGGAGTCTGCACACCCACAGTGAGCGCAGGTACCTATTGAGTACGAGTGCGAGTGCCGAGCGCAAGTGCCGAGCGATTGGGAGGATTGAGTGACTGTGAGGACTGAGTGACTGGGAGGACTGAGTGGATTGATACTCTGAGAGTATGCATATGGTTATTCACTATGTTGTATTGCATTCGACATGCACACTTGACATACAAGCATAGAGATGTATTTTTTTTCACATGCTGTACGGTATCACGTCATTTATGACTTCTCATATACATGGACATGTAGGCATAAAGATGTATTTTTCCTCATGCCATTTGATGATGAAACATTTACTTGTTGAAAGGTTTTGGAAAGAAAAGTCATGATTTTACAAACTTACTCATATTTTGGTGCTTTCGGTAAGAGATTTGGGTTTTTCACTGTGATACTTGAAAAATATGCCTATTTTTCGGAACTATGAACGAGTTGAACATTATATCTCTGAGTTATTTCCTATTCCACTTTTATTATATTGTTATGAACTGTTATTGGCTATTGGTGTTGGATCTGACCTTTGTCCCAGTTCGTCACTACTTTCAACCTAAGGTTAGGTTTGTTACTTATTGAGTACATGTGGTCGGTTATACTCATACTACACTTCTGCACCTTGTGTGTAGATGTTGGATGCTGATGTTACTTTTTTCTATGGGCGCTGGATTTGAAGATGTACCCGCATTTCGGTTATAGCTGCCTCTTATTCATGGTAGATCTAGACTTACGAAAGATCTGTTCATGTATATTTTAAATAGATGATGTACTTTATTTCATACCACCTTTGTAAATTCTAAATTTTAGTGACTCATAATTTGTACTACCAGTCCTTGGGGAATGTATAAGATGCAAATATTTTCTTTACTTAATTGTCTTATTAAATTTCATTGGAATTGGATAGTTGTTAATTAGCTTACCTAGCGGGTTGGGTTAGGTGCCATCACAACTAGTTAGATTTTGGGTCGTGACAAGTTGGTATCAGAGCTGTAGGTTCATAAGTTCTACAAGTCATGAGCAAGTGTCTAGTAGAGTCTTGCGGATCGGTATGATGACGTCCATACCTATCTTCGAGAGGCTACAAGGCATTTAGGATAAACTTTCCATCTTTCTTTCCTTATCGTGCGACATTGATTCAGCTTCAAGCGTATCTTTTTGAATCCCTTCCATGCATTCGTATGTGCATGTGAGCACTCGGTATCAGTTGTACATCGACGACTTATGATTCCATGGATGAGGTGCGAGATGTGATTTTGGCGTACTAATGATAGGCCAGTCTGGAGGACTTGGGGCCAGGTTTTGACCGTAGCTTGAGCATGGGGGTTTCAACTATGTGAGCACGTGATTTTAGACTTATAAGTCTGGTAGTGTCCCTATTAATGGAATTTGTGGCTCGATGAGTGGTTGGTTGACTATATGATGAGTATGATATGACTGCAGGATGTGTTCAGATGGTTTGAATGTGACGAGAAGAGTTTGCTTGGGATGTGAGAAGGACTATTGGGTACTTGATTTTCGTCTTGATGTGACGTATAGTCTCGAGTTATGAGTGTGTTGAAAGATTTTTCATGATTGTTTAATTGTGGAACGAAATAGATTTTCATTTCTTGTTGTGAGTTCAGACTCAGGAAGATTAAGTGATGGCGTAGTAATCGTGGCTGTGAAAGGGTATAGCAAGATGCCAATTTGAGGCTAAGCAGGTGGATTATCTCTTACGGAGTAATCTGCGGAGGTGTGATACTTATGATGTTGTGTGGAGAGTTTCTTTTCTACCAGCGGGGTATTTGTGTTGAGATTTGAATTTGAATTTGGTTGAGAAAGTTGACTTTATCGTCATGTGGATGTCTACGAGCTTAGTAGATGATTGGCAAAATACATAAGTTACCCCCTAAACTATGGACTAAATCCCTATTACACACTTTTTACGGATGAAAATTATCTTACACACTCAACCTTTCTAAATTGTGCCTAAGACACCACTTTTTACAGCTGGCACGGGCGTGTTTTACACTTAAAAGAGGCAAGTGAATGTAAAAAATTTGGGTCAAAACTATGCCACATGTCCAGCCTTTTTTATTTTCTTATTTCCCATTATTTTTTACACCATTTTACCCACCCCCTTCCACATTTCATTCTCTTCGTCTAAAAAGAAGAAATAGGAAAGAAATCAGCCATTAACAGTCTCCGGTCTTCATTAATGCCACCATACAAAGACCACTACAGAACTTTACACCGCAGCTCTTTCATTTTCAAAATTCTATTTTTTGTCTCAACACTAAACCACTATCACGGTATCTCCCACCCTAGAATCCTTTACCCCCAATCCCCAAATTAAATCCCTAGTCGTGACACACTAAAATGGGAGTCTAGTAGAGGTCAGGTTTTCGTTTATGGCTCCGCAACTCTCACCTTAATTGTTTTCTGGCCGAAATCCATTGCCAATTCTCAATATTTGCTCTGCAAATCTAAAGAAATCTTCTGTCTCTACAGTATATATACACAAGATCTCAAGCTAGGGTAATTACAAAAACTCAATTAAAAATCTGGAAAAATGATCAATGATAGTGAAGGTTTGGCAGATTTCCAATTAAAAATTTTCGATGTTCTCTTTAGTTCGAGCGAAAAAATTCAGCTAGTTATTTTCTCTATTTTCTGGTGGCCGGATTTTTTTACTGGTCTATGGTAATTTATGTTTAGTTATGGAAGAACGACGTGAAATTTAATGGTGGTTATGGAGGTTTAACAGGGTAGAAATAAAAAGATTTTAGTTTTGTTTGCGGTGGAGAAAGATAAGGTAGGTGGAGAAGAAAGAGAAAAGATGAGGGACAAAATATAACAATAAAAAGTAAATGAGAATAGCCACAGTCACTTTTTAATTCGTTGTTTTGCCATGTTAGCAACACGTGACATTTTTAACTAAGTATTTTATTTTTTCTTGAGTTATGACACATGTCACGACTTTATTGGTGCGTGATATCACACATATGTTAAAAAATTGGTCAACAAAAAAGTGATGCGTCTTAGGTACACTTTAGAAAGGTTGAGTGTATAAGATAATTTTCGTCCGTAAAAAATGTGTAACAGGGATTTGGTCCATAGTTTAGAGGATAACTTATGTATTTTGCATAGATGATTTGAGGTACTATATGGTTTGTGCTATGTGAGCATATGAAGGATTTAGTTGAATTTCCTTGCGGTATTATGGTAATAATAGAGCATGGGTATTGCGAATTATCGAGTATTTTGATCTATGGCTTTGAGCCAAGTGGGGGAGTCTGCTATCGAAGATTTGATTGCATGGTTGCGTGTTGTATTGGTTTTGGTCTGAGGCATACTTGTGGATCGGTTATGACTTGCAGAGGTTGATATCGAGGATGAACCGAGTAAGATTACTTCTGGATATGGGTTGTATTACACTTTATGTGTATATGGGAATTATGGGATGATTGAGTTGTTATTCGTGAAAGATGTAGTGCGCATGGAGTAGGAAATTGCTCGGTTGTTGAAAGGGGTGGATTACTTCTTTAGGTGTTGTTGTGCTAATGCGGCACAGGTCGTTCGGCCCGTCTGGTCGGTGCAATTGAGATTTGAG